GGCAAGTACCATTACACGTGGACAGCAGACCACTCACCGCATTCGCAATCCCCGGGCGGGGGCAATTTCGCTTCAAGGTAATGCCCTTCGGGCTACACGCCGCGCCGGCCACCTTCCAACGGCTACTCGATCGAATCATCGGACCAGATATGGAGCCCCGAGCGTTCGCGTATCTCGACGACATAGTCGTGCTAGGCCGGACATTCGACGAGCACCTCCACAACTTACGAGAGGTCTTGCAGCGACTACTGGACGCCAACCTACGGATTAACAAAGAAAAGTGTCAGTTTGGTAGAACGAGCCTACGATACTTAGGCCACGTGGTGGACCGAGAAGGACTACGTACCGATCTGGAGAAGGTAAGGGCTCTATTGGAGATACCCACCCGAGGCTCAGTACCCGCCCTAAGACTGTTCCTTGGCATGGTTTCGTGGTACCGGAGATTTATCCCAGACATCGCCACCGTGATGGCACCTCTCAATAACCGGCTACAGGCGAAGGCTCGCTGGGAGTGCGGGATAGCCGTGGAACGGGCGTTCCAAACAGTACGAGCACAACTCGCCACCGCACCGGTACTCCAATGTCCGGACTTTACGAAAACTTTCGTCCTACAGACCGACGCCAGCGACGTGGGATTGGGGGCCGTCCTGACACAGGATATCGACGGACAAGAACGAGTCGTGGCTTACGCCAGTCGCACGCTCCGCCCAGCCGAGAAAAATTATTCAGCCACCGAAAAAGAATGCCTGGCAGTAATCTGGGGAATAGAAAAAATGAGACCGTACCTCGAAGAATACCACTTCCGCGTCATCACCGACCACTTCTCCCTACGGTGGCTACGCACGCTGGAGAACCCGACCGGCAGACTGGCGAGGTGGGCCGTATCCCTGCAACAACATGACTTCCAGGTAGAATACAGACGAGGATCACTGAATCACGTCCCCGACGCGCTATCACGCCAACCTGTAGAGGAGGGGGAGGAGTGCACAACCACAGAATTGGCCACCGTCAGCCCGACGGAAACATGCACATGGTACGAGCGGACAAAACAGAAAGTAATAACAAAACCGCAGCAACACCCAGACTACAGATTACAAGGAAGCTATCTATACCGATACTTCCAAGGGAGATACTCCAATAACGAGGACACCGACACGACCGCCTGGAAATTATGCATACCCAAAGACCAACGGGAACAGACGCTACAAGAATGCCACGACGCCGATACAGCGGGACACCTCGGGATCACCAAAACGATCGCCCGACTCATGCAACACTACTACTGGCCGGGAATGACGAGGGAAGCGGCAAAGTACGTACGCCAATGCAAGAGCTGCCGACTCCATAAGGTGCAACAACAACAAACAGCCGGACTCATGCACCATAGCCAGGTGGCAGAACCAGCAAACTTTATAGCAGTAGATATGATCGGACCGCTACCACGCTCAATGGACGGGAATGCATGGATACTCGTGGCACAGGATACGTTCACCAAGTGGGTTACCGTTAAACCGCTCAGACAGGCCACCGCCACAGCAGTAACCAAGGTAGTCAGAGAAAACGTCATCCTCCAACACGGCTGCCCCAAGAGGATAATCACAGACAACGGGCGACAGTTTGAGAGCAAGGAATTCCGCGGACTACTCGAACGGGCCGGCATACAGCACAGAAAGACACCACCGTACTCGCCGCAGTGCAACCCGGTGGAACGGGCGAACCGAACACTAAAAACAATGATCGCCCAGTATATAGAGAGGGACCACAGGAGATGGGACCAGAAACTCCCGGAACTGGTCTTCGCGATGAACACCGCAGTGCAGGAGAGCACCGGATTTACCCCGGCCAGACTGACATACGGACGCGAACTCACCGCCCCAGGAACGCTACACGCACAATACCAACCACCGTTAACAGACGACACCGACGAAACAAACACCGCGACACGCGTCCAACAGCTCGATAAGATGCCAGAGGAAGCCGCGACCGCCACCGCACGACAAAGGGACGCCACATACCGCCAGGAGCATTACTTCAACCTCCGTCGACGAGAATGACGCCCCGCTCCCGGAGATCAAGTCATGCGCCGAGAACATCCGCTGTCAAAAGCAGGCGAGCACTTCGCGGGCAAACTAGCACCAAAATATTCCGGACCGTACACCGTTGACCGAGCAATCTCACCGGTCATATACCGACTACGAGATCACAACAACCGGCTGGTGGGGACAGCCCACGTAAAGGATCTCAAGGGTGTCTAGCATCACACAAAAACACGCAAAGCCGGGTATATAAGGGAGCACTCGCACCGAACACGGAAAGAGAACAACAGGATGGGAAAGTTACGCGCACGGATCGAGAGGATGGCTCCTAAGAGAAGAGCTCCGGGACACCCGCCGATACCGGGACTGGCGCCGCAGGCTCCCCGATACGTGCCACCCGCCGAAGCGAGACCACGGACGGCCCGCGCCTCGGTAAGCATCGAGCAGCGGGGACGGGCACCCGCGGTCGTAAGAGCGAGAACGACCGTCTCGAGACAGGAGCAGCTGTACCAAACGGCCACTCAGGCAACCGCCGCCCTCGCCTCGGAGCTCGAGAACCTCTTCGGTTCACTGTCAGACCTGGAGGACGAGCCAGTGACCGCCACCGAGCCAGCCGCAGCAGCAACCGTAACCGAGGCGCCGGGATTGCCGACACCTCCGCCAACACCCGCAGCGACGCCGGATCCAGCGCCCGGGGCGACCCCAACGTCAGGCCCGCCTCCAGGTTACGGGTACTTCACCAGCGCCAACGGAGGTGAATTCGACGGACTCCTCGACGGCGTACCATGGCAACGCATCCGGCCGGGGCAGCGTTACCGTCATCACGTCGCCGGGCGCACCGTCGTCGTCAAACGCCTACGAAACGGCGAAATACGGCTCCGCGAACGAATCTAGGGCAGAATTGTTGGCTAAATAAAGTATAGTGTTTGTTACGATGTCGGGATCTGCCAGGGGG